GACTATACAGTAAAAAAAAAAAAGATGCTAAAATTTGTATTTCTGTAAATGTTTAGAATTTATGTAAATGTTATATATATATGTAATAATTGTATCATAAAAATATTAAAGTTTTAGATAGAGATAAATGTATCAATATATTAATAATAATGATTCAACTAAATTTCAAAAAATTAAAGAAAAATTTATAGTTTTTATTCGATAATTATTTGATATAATTATTTTATGTGATAATTTAGAAATCTTTTATAATTTTATTTATAAATAAAATTTTTATAAAAAATCAATTATAATATTATTATTATAGAAGATTAAAATATAATTATTAAAATATAATTCCTTTAATTAATATACAATTATATACACTTAATATATGCAATCATTAAATGTGTGCAATATTATATATCAATAAATAAAATTAATGTCAAAGTAAAAGATTGTATTAATATAAGTATATCATAAAAAAAGATAAAATCTAATTGAAAAATTATATCACATATTATATTAATATACAATTTTTTATAATTCTGTAATCAATTATGATGTAATTTAAATATTGTAAACTACGAATTACATTACATATTAAAATTGACCGTCGATGAATTGAAAAACACATTGTAGACAAAGAAAATTCGCCCTTGAATATTAATGGTCTTTTATCTGAAGCAACGTTTACAAACATTTTCAAGTGGTTTAAGCTTAGCTAAACAGAGAATAACGTACTTTCAAGTTTTTATTTCAATATAAATGATATTATGTTGGTATTAGAAACGTTGTTAAAGATCCAAAAATAATTTTATCTCGAATATAAATTATGTGAAGAAAAAAAAAAATAAATAAAATAAGAAAAAAGATTTTTCTTCATAATATAATTCATAAGTAATTTTATAAAAAGAATTGTACTAGTGGAAACAATATGAATTTATTAATATGAACAATATTGTAAAAAGTGAAATGAAAATGAAATGAAAATTATATCATTATTTCTATAATTAAGAAATTTTTTTGAATTTGTCTAATAACGTGAATTATTTCGTTTAAATAAATTATTAATAAATTTTTAATATAAATATATTTTTTCATTATTAAAAATTTCATTATTTCAAATTGTTATTTCAATTACAATTCAAAAAAGGCACAGGTTCATTAAAACCTTATTACATATCTGAAGGAATGAAACGCAGTGCAGAAAACGCATGCGCATTGATTCAATACTCGATAGCTGATTCGCCAGAATTTTTTTCCTTTAAGTTGGCTGCTCTGTCAGCTCTTTGTTCATAGTGGCAACGGTTGAACATTGTCAGCGTTTCTACTCTTACGGTTGGGCGGTCTCATTCGTCTTTCGACAGTTGCGGAAGACGATCTGTATTATCGATTTGTTCGATTTTTTCAAATAAACCTCGCTTATCTTCCTTCGTCAACAATCAAAAAGTAAGTTTTTTTCAAATTAAAGTAACAATTATTCATACTTAATATTGATCAGCCATATTTGCCGGTAATTATGTTTTGTTTTACTGATATGCACGTGTCATATTTACTATGATTTAAAATTGGATATATTTAATTAGTACTGAATGTCACTTATATATATTTAAACAAAAAAATATCGGATAAAATGAAGTTCAATATTATGTGAACAATTAATGTTTTATATTTTTACAAATAAATATTTTGCATTGAAGGATTCAAACAAAGCAATACTAAAGAGGGGGGTAAATTATTGGGTCAGAGAAGAAAAAAAGTCAACAAAACTGTTTTGTTTTGTAGATTTTTTCTTTTTGTTAAATTTTCAAAGCAAGTAGTTGATATTTACGTAAAAACAAATATATTCTATAGTTTATATCGATTTTTCTGTGAGGCAGTTTTTTTATAAATTACATTTAGAATTAAACTTCTTATAAATTGTTCATTAATAATGGTTCCGGTATTTTTAACCATTTTTAAAATAAATATAATCATTGTACTAGATAAAAATTTTAGTAAATTTAAAATCAATATTTTATCATGAATATATATGTGAGTGTTATTATGTATATATGATACACACACACACACACACACACACACAAAAACAAATACACATACACACACGAAACGGTTCTATTATTCGTAATATTTCTAAGAAATTTTGTTGTATAATATTTTTTAAAATTTTTATATCGAATATTATTTATAAGTTTTATGATTATAGTTTTTTTTTGCAAATTCTTATTGTAAAATTACAATAAATAAATTTTTACAGAATATAATGGCTGATGATTGGGGGAAAACTGTTTCTTATAATGAAAAAGATCAATCTTACGTAAGTGCAAATTTTTTCATTTAATAAATAATTAATAATAATTAATTAATTGTATATTCATTTTTATATTAGTTTGATGAAGGTGGACGTAGTTATGGAAAGGGAAGAGGATTTATAATACAAAATAACAATAACGATGATTGGCCTGTGGGTAAAAAAAATTGCAACAGTGAAACTATAAATGATGGTGAATTTAATGATGAAACTTACTGGCAATGTGACGATAAGAAGACTGAGATTGAAGAAACTGGTAGAGGTAGAGGAAGAGGTCATGGTAAAGGAGGATCTAGAGGAAGAGGAAGCAATCGTGGAAGAACAGGATTTAATAATAGAAATAAAGATGGTGATGATAATAATGATTATGAGGATAACGATTATGGTAATCAGGATAGAAACGATAGACGAAAAAAAACATTTGCTGCTCGAGAAGATAACGACGAGGAAGAAGTACAAAAGCCTAAGGAACAATATATTCCACCAGAATTACCTAGCGATGAAAAATTATTTGAAAATGGTGTCGAGATAGGCATTAATTTTGATAAATATGATAATATTCAGGTTAACGTGAGTGGAGAGAATGTACCTCAACCGATAGAAAGTTTTGAGGCAGCTGGCCTTAGAAATATTGTTTTAGACAATATAAAAAAGTCTGGATATAAAAAACCTACTCCTGTACAGAAACATGCTTTGCCAATTATTATGAATGGTAGAGATTTAATGGCTTGTGCCCAAACTGGTTCAGGAAAAACTGCTGCATTCGCAGTCCCTATTATAAATACATTATTAGAGAGATCTGTCGATTTGGTTGTAACTTCGACATATTGCGAACCACAAGTTGTCATCGTGTCGCCAACTCGAGAACTTACCATACAAATATGGCAACAAATTGTTAAATTTTCACTCAATTCAATTTTGAAAACTGTAGTTGCATATGGTGGAACATCTGTTATGCATCAAAGAGGAAAGCTCTCCGCTGGTTGCCACATACTTGTAGCAACACCTGGAAGATTATTAGATTTTGTGGAAAAAGGAAGAGTAAAATTTTCTTCTGTACAATTTCTCGTATTGGATGAAGCTGACCGTATGTTAGACATGGGATTTTTACCTAGTATCGAAAAGATGGTGGACCATGAGACTATGGTTCCTTTAGGTGAAAGGCAGACATTAATGTTTTCTGCCACTTTCCCGGATGAAGTGCAACATTTGGCAAGAAGATTTTTAAACAATTATTTGTTCCTTGCGGTTGGTATCGTAGGTGGAGCTTGTTCAGACGTGGAACAAAACTTTTACGAAGTTGCTAGAAATAAGAAAAAAGACTTGCTAAAAGAAATATTAGAAAGAGAAAATGATTCAGGTACATTAGGCGGCACTCTAGTATTCGTTGAGATGAAAAAGAAAGCCGATTTTATTGCTGTTTTCTTATCAGAGAATAATTATCCTACTACCAGTATTCATGGCGATAGATTACAAAGACAAAGGGAAGAAGCATTAGCTGATTTTAAAAGTGGAAGGATGTCCATTTTAGTAGCTACAGCGGTTGCTGCAAGAGGTTTAGACATTAAAAATGTTTCGCACGTTATAAATTACGATTTGCCAAAAGGGATTGACGAATACGTTCATCGAATTGGAAGAACTGGACGTGTAGGAAATCGAGGACGAGCGACTTCTTTCTTCGATCCTGAAGAAGATGCACCATTGCGAGGTGATCTTGTCAGAATATTGAAACAAGCAAATCAATCCGTACCGGATTGGTTAATGGGTGGAAACGCGAATAGAAATTTCATGCCTGGAAGAGGTATAAGCAAATTTGGAGGTGAAGATGTTAGAGAGGTATGTGTATATATATATTTTTTCATTCTAATATTGTAAATGAAATTAAATATAATAGTAATTAGAAAATAAATAATATGTATATATGTATGTATGTATATGTATATATATATGTATATATATATAATATTTGTATATAGTCTGAAGCATTCGCGGAAGAATATACGGAAGAAGCGTATTCCGTACCACAAGAACCGGAAGAAGAATGGTAGAAAATTTATTTTTTTCATCTACATATATTTTATCGTATTACTCTTAGAAACAGGGTAGTAAGCTTTGTTTCTTTATTCGCTAAGTCAGAGGTACAAAGAATTTTCTATTCATTATATTTTTATATATTTAACGTTAATAATCCAACAAGATTAATACATTAATAATAACTTTTTTTTTATCTAAATAAACAGTAATTAATAACTTATTTATATGAAATAGACTGGATTGTAAACTTGTTTAGAACTATAAGTTACATACGAGATAATATAATGTTAGTTTTGTTGATGCGAAGAGTTTAACTTTAAGAGATAATAATGCAATTTGCGAAAACGTTCCAATTGTATTTTTGAATACAAGTTTATCTTATTGTATCGATCGTACAAATATTAGCTTTTAAGACCAAATCATGAAATTATTATACGTAAAGACACAACACTTTATTTTATAAAACGGTACTCTCTAATATTATGTTAAGTGTTTTGTACGTTCCTTTTTATAATAAAAAGTTGCAACGACGAATTATTTTGAATATTTTTTATTCATTTGTAAAAAAAAAAAAAATAAAATAAAATATCGAAAAGAGTCCTTTTATAATTTTAAACAATTCATGTATACGATTATATATTAAATAAATAAATGAAAATGTTGTACATACCATCATTCATAGCCATATCCATCAGATGTAAATCCTCATCATTAAGAAGAGACGAAAGAAAACCATCGGTAGTTTGATTTATCGAATCGGATGTTGGTGTATGATAATACATCATATCTGCCGGCTCGGATTTATAAGCTGCTCCACTTTCCGCACCCATCGGTTCGCTACTGTTCGTTAAATTCATCGACGTTGCTACAGCCGAGCCCAAATTTGATGATCCACCTGCACCAATTAGTATTTTAGTTTCAAAATGGTTTAGCCGCTGACGAATATTTCTTTTGTATACTTTTTAAATTTTATCGTATCGTATAATGGTAAAAATTATAATTAATATCATCGCATAAAAATAAAATAATAAAATATATTTCACATATATGCGAAGATCTTAATTTTTGTTTATCGAATATGATAATTTAAATAGAGTTTTTGAAATTTTTTGCGTAAACTTACTTACCTACATTGTGATAAGGGCTCGTCGAATTAAGATCACCCACCGGTGGAGCCAGAGTAGCATTGTGAAGCAACACGTTACGTTGTGCTTCATAATGACTGTGGCTTATACCGTGCCCTGGGTATCCAGGATGAGTATGTGGAAAATGTTCTGGTGCACCAGGTAACGATAAAAGAGATGCTAGATCTTGCCACCGTTGTTCCATGCTCATTGCACGCATGAATGGCATGCGACCCTGAAATATACAAATTATCAATTAACACAAATCTTTCCTTATACGTTTTTCTTTTCCTATAACGTTCAAACTTTTAACAATTTTATTCGTGAATCGCTGACCTGCTATTCCAAACATGTTTTAATCGCTAATTTTATTTTTTACTAATCGATAAAATAAATCTACCTATCTTTACAATTACAATCCTTTTTCTTTTGCTTTCGTTATAAGATATCTATCCAGTGTCACGCCTATAGAATCCCGCGGTTATCGAACCTGTCAAATCTCAAACTTGTCGGATGGATCGTCAGAAACCCTGCTGATCGCGTAGGTGTTGGCCACACGTAAGGACGGTCAAGATATTAATGATTTTGGTATCACGCGTGTCACAAGTATCGTTCGAACTGTGTAGAAACGCGTTGATCATGATCAAATGTCAAACTGCGCGTCGAATATTGGAAATTATCAGAGAGAATAATTTTTATTCGACGAGCAACGATGCGTTAAAGCGAACTCTTTCAAGTAAGCATAACATAACACGATCTCGATCTTGTGATTATTTACCGTCTTTATCGAGAGATTTAGTTAATAATGGACTCGACGTATCGAGCAGTAGATCGTTTCGATCGGAATTTACACGGATAATAATCTAAACGTAAAAACGTATCGTTTCGCGTTTAAACGTACGAAGCGACTTATCAACCTTGCTATCAACAAGATTCGCTCTAATATTCAAGGCCATAAATCTACGCAAGTGTTAAAATGATAAAATGGTGGGAAAGGAACGGGCACGGTACGTAGGTTAGGAAGAGGAGGAAAGGAGTACGCGTAAGCGCGGTAGTGGTCGGTGGCGCTTAATGCAGGTTAGCATTGTCGCTAATGCATCGAGCGCAAGAAGAAGATGAATAGAGAAACTGGCTCGCGATTGTTGTTCGCTCGCATCAATCAGTGGTCGGTGCAATCTGTGGAGCGCGACGCCTTTAAGGTGATTCTCGCTTGTCACCGCATCTGTCGGCTGTAGGCCGCCAAATGTAGGACGAGACGTTTGTTCCGCGACCATTTGTCCTCCATATACCGAATCGCGGGTTTCTAATGGCGCGCAACTTTACGCTCGTTCGCCGTTTCGATGCAACGCTCATGATTGAGCCGTGGATGGAAAAAACTCGACGCGTTTATACCGTTTCCAAGAACGCTTCTCGGAATTTGACGCGCACACCAGTTGCCAGTTCACCGTGCTAAAACAATTTCTCATGGTCTTTCCGCTATACACAGTTTTGGAGATCGCGGTTATTTCCATTCCCCGGTTCTTGCACTTTCCAAGACCAATCATTTTTCCACTAGTTCTCTATCTACATTATCTACCGCGTACCGTTTGGTTACGGTTCTGATTTTTGGATCACTGCTCCTTCTTCCCTGCGCATCGGAGAAATTCGAAAAACGTATACACGCACAACAGGCGCGCGCGCGCGCGCGCGAATACACGCGATGTATTCGAAGGCGTATACGACGTTGGCTCGCGTCACAGGCCGTATGAATTTGCGAGATCGCGAGACTGGGAGGAAAGAGATCTCTCAGAGCGAACAGATGTTTGAAACGAGCTGTCGAGGACTTGCCAGTTTCTACCGAGCTCTCTCTTCCTTCTTCCTTTGTCCGTTTATATCTGTTTTCCATTCCTCTTTCCTCCCCTTTCTTTTCTTCCATTTCTATCTTTACTACTACGCTTTTCATCTTTTTGCCAACTATTATCCTCACAATAATAATAATCACAAGTTCGCGTTTGCGAGATATTTAATCTTGCGCGCTTAAGAAGAATATTCATCTTTTTCTTCTCTCTTCTAAAATCCCATCTTTCCAACTCTTTTCCAAATCTTTTTTAATTGATATATATTCGCTCGAGACATCTCTTCTTGGCAAGTTTTGCATACATTTGTATATTGGTGCTAATGCAATCGATCGAGAACGAAAAGTACGACAGCGATCATTCGATACCTGCCAGCATCGTTTACTCTAACGTCCCTTCGATCCTTGATCGCTTACCTACTTTTTACCTCGGCGCATCGTTCGTGTTTTCGTACGTGACTGCCAGTAAAGCTCGTTTCTGTCACGAAAGTTGTGAATCAAAATATCCAGGGATACCGATTCAATCCCTCACAGCCTATAAAAAAATATTTTGTCTCTCGTATCCGTCGTTTCTTCTCATATATATATATATATATTTGAAATTGTTTACGTTCACCGCATACGATCGCGGATTAAATTCATTCGTTATCCATTTACCAAAAACTAATACGATATACAATATAGATATTTATCTTTTATGGTATGAAATTTCTCAAGATCCTCGATAAGTATCATTCGTCGAAGAAAGTATATAATACGTGGAGATAGAACGTTCGAAACGGAGAGGATCGAAATTAATTATATTCGCATTTCAAAGATTATCGTATTTATTGTATTTATTGTTTATAGGCTGACGGAGAAGTTTGATGATCGCTTCGCAAAGAGGTAAATTCGTTTCACACATCTTAGATAGCTCATACCGCGACGCATTATGTATTTCACAGTGCATAAGTCCACCAGCTGTTTGGAATCTCCGACCAACGGAAAGGAATTGTGACGCCCCGTCGCGTTGCTTCGTTCTTCGTGAAAATTGCTTGATCGTACGCGAGTACGAACGTACCTTGACAATACTCTAAAAACTGGATTTTCTTTATAAAATCGTCCCTCGCGTAGCGAGAGAAACAGAGAGAGAGAGAGAGAGACGAAAATAATTCTCTCGTAAGGAAAACGGGGGAGACGAATCTCGTTCTTTCGACGAAAGAAATTTTCTACTCGAATATACATATCTGGAATGGTAAATTTAAATGGAAAAATGGATTGGTTAACCGAATACAATAATCTCGCGGCGAGGTACATTACGGAGAAAATACAAGTAATTAAAGATACGCGGAGAAAGTATGCGCATTACCTATAGTCGGCGGTACACCGTGATGGCTAATGGGCCAAGATATTAATTATGATTCATTCAGATAGGCATCAGATTAATGCACCACTGGCATGGGTTACCGCGGTGGGCTCGCGGCGAGTCCTTCGAGTATCGTTACAAGTGCATCCTAATGTCTCGGTCGGTCTCCGTCTTTCCCTCGGCCTCTCATTTCCATATTACATACCTCGTTCCTCTTATTAATTTCGTCTTACGACTCTTCTCGCTCGCGATCCAACGCGCTCAACCTCTATCTTCCAGCCTCCGCGGCTTCGAGGATCGCCCTCTCTCACGATCTCCGTTCCTTCTTTCATCTCCATCTCCATCTCTTTATCTCCGCGCATCGCTTTCTTCTCTCTTTTCAATCGTAACTCGATGTTGCGTGTAAATATTATCGAAAGTCCAAGGATACTCGGACTGCTTCTTTCTTCTTCTTCTTTTTCTTTCTTTCTTTTTTTTTTTTTTTCTTTACAACTCAACGTATTTTAAACAAATATCAGAAGTGCAATAGCGGACGTAACCGTAACCAATGTCCGTCGATCACGGTCAAAGATCGTCCTTCGTTGATCGATATCTGCTTGACTTTATTTCGTTACGAGATGCGGACAAAATTCAAAAGTTGCCATCGGTCGATGCATCTTGTTTTTCTTCTGGTGTTCCATTCCAATTATTAAAATACGAGGGGGAGTTACGGATCACGATGATTTATCATCTTATTTATGAGCTCATTCGAAAATTTTCTTCCGCGTGATCACGTTACGCCATATGTAAATTATCTTCTAATCCTCGGAGCGAGACGACCGATAGTCGGATCGAAATTAACATTCATCGTCAACGATTTTTATATCGTTCTCTTTAAAATTTGCGAACGAATGAAAATTCAAAGGATTCTAGACACGTAAACGCGTATTTGTCGTAAATCGTATTTGCGAGAAATTAAAAGCACGCTTATTTAAAATTTCGACATTAAGGGAAATCATTCGTCTTTTGAACTTATTAGCGCGAAGATTAAATTGTTTTGCATTTCTAATCCTTCCAACTATGTAATCAGCACAGCAGGATAAACGTTGCGGCTGTAATTACTATTACATTCTGATGCGCTCAGCTTGCTTCTCTCGTTCTCTCGCGCGGAACTCTTCTTCTCGTTTTTTTCTAATTCTCGTTCGTTATCCGCGAACAGAGCACGCCATACGATCCTCCTTTTATTTTTAATTATTCCCTATTCTTTTCAAACCCGCTCGATTTTCAAACCAGCCGGGGCAACTTTTTACATTATTATCGTACATTGCGCATAATTCAAACATTTTATTATTCCTTCATTTTTATTATTATCAAATTACTTTTAATTTCGATCTTCTCTTCATACCTTCTACCTTCTACCTTCGTGTAATTTCGATCTTTCCATTTCGAATATTAATTAATCGAACGGTGGATACACGCGTGATTCTAAATCGATCGTAAAATGTATTTATTCTTTCGATAGGAAAGTGAAAAGTGAAAGAAATAAAGATTTTCATCCGGTATACTTAACGATGTTTTAACGATATCGATATCAAATTTAGCGCAATGTTATCGACCATGATGTTTAAACCGGTTTAAACACGATTTAAAAATTAGTACTAAGACGATTAAGATAAGTAACAAGGATAAGCGACGAGTAGCAAAGATTGGTAGCTTAATTACGATTTAAAATTTTTAAGCGGAGGGTCAAAACTGCGGACGTTTTTAAACTTTTCGCCTTTTTTTAATTGAAAAAGATGGATCCACACCTGGTCGATACATCTGTCATAATTTTACGAAACGATTCGTGAGAAGAAAAAGTTAGGAAAATTCAGCGATCGAAAGATAAGAAATTTTATTATATAAAATTATAATATACATATATATATAAAATTCGTAGAATACTCTATCTAGAGGGTTAAACGCATCTTCGTAATAGATATTTTTTTTCCGTGGTATTCGCATTACGTTGGATCGCATTCACGAATGGATGGCGATAATTATTTAAATTTGGCGTTATCGAGAACAAAGTTACGCC